GCTCCATGGCTTGCTGATGAGGGGTATCCCATTTGTAGGGCGTATCCTTTTTCAGTAGGTCGGTCAGTTGCGCTGCTATCTTAGCGTACTGCAGCATGAACCTGTTGTAGTAGTTGGCGAAGCCTAGGAACAGCTGCAACTCCTTCACACTCTCCGGTACTTTCCACTTCTTGACTATGAGAGGACGTCCCCGTTATAATATTTTCTCACTATTATATTTTTCCGTTATCCCATTCTCCCTTTTCTCCTCTTTATTTTGGTCTTTATCTCATCTCAATCGGCCTACTACTCTATTCTCTAGAGCCTTCTATTTATTTCTCCTATTTCCTACTTTTCCCACCGACATACCTATTATACGGCACCGACAGCGCCGACAGTGGTGTATACGGTGTAATCTGGGCGTAATCCCAAGTGCCAATAGACTTGCGTGCTTATGCGCACTTGTGATTGTAGTATCGGGAAGGGTGTATTCCCGAAGGTTCGTATTATCTCGTTTATCCTTGTACTTTCCGAGTATAAATAGGCCTTGTATTCAGTTTTAGTGACAAGTTTCGATTGAGAATTCGATCCTGTGACACTTGGTAATCAGAGCCGTTCTCACTGGACAACTCTCGGCTAAGCAGCGGTCGCGGAAAAAATCGCCTCGAAAAACCGCCGGGGGCGACCAATTCGACGCCGTTTTCAGCAGGACTTCCTAGTCCTGCGTCTGCACTCTGACGGGGTTGGTGAGTTCTCCTCTAGCGTCCTTGAGACGTTCTGTTAGGACAAGGGCATAGCCCAGTCGTTCACGCTTCCGGCCTCTCCGCAGCAAAATGGAATTGCTGAGCGTCGCATTGGCCTGATCATGGAGGTTGCTCGTACCTTCATGATCCATGCGGCTGCTCCCCATTTCCTGTGGCCGTTTGTGGTCCGTTACGCCGCGCATCAGCTCAACCTCTGGCCCCGTGTCTCTGCTCTAGAGACCTCGCCCACACTCCGTTGGACGGGACACCCTGGTGATGCGTCATCGTTTCGGGTCTGGGACGCGCTCTCCCTTGTTCGTAATACCAAAGCGAGCAAGCTCTCTCCTCGCACTCTTCGCTGTGTCTTCCTGGGCTTCCCCACCAACGCCCCGCCCTGGCAGTTCTACCACCCTGCCTCGCGTCGTGTTCTGTCCTCTCAGGACGTCACCTTCGACGAGTCGGCCTGTTACTACCGACTTCACCCACACGCGTCTCACCCGGTCCCCTCGCGCCTCTCTTCCTGGTACCAGTCCCCCCCCCGGTAGACCCCCTTCCCCCATAGGTGTCCTGCTACTCCTGCTACTCCTGCTCCCTCAGGTGTCCTGGTGGTGGAGGGTACGGTCCTGCTGGTGCTGGAGCTACTATTCCAGTAGGTACTGCTGGTGCTGGAGGTGCTGGAGGCACTACTAGAGGTGCTACGAGTGCTGGAGGTACTGGAGGTGCTAGGCCTGGAGGTGCTGCTGGTGCTGGGGGTATTGGAGCTGCTGCTGGTGCTGGAGGTACTGGAGCTGCTAGTGTTGGAGGTACTGCCGGTGCTGTAGGTACTGGAGCTGCTGGTGCTGGAGGTACTACTGTTACTGGATATGCTGGGGGTGCTGGAGCTACTGGCACTGGAGGTGCCGGAGGTACTACTGGTGCTGGAGGCGCTAGAGCTAGAGCTGGAGGCACTGGAGGTGCTGGAGGTACTACTGGTGCTCGAGGTGTTGGCGCTGTCGGAGCTCGTGGTGCTGGAGGTGCTGGTGCTACTGGTGCTGGAGGTGTTGCTGGGGGTACTGGAGGAGCTACTCGTGCTGGAGGTACGGGAGCTGATGGTGCTCTTTGCCACCTTCTCAGTCTTCCGCCCGGTGCTACTGACTTCCCTGTGGCAGGTACTACTCCCCCGTTGCTGTTTCCACCGGCGGACCAGTCACAGCCGCCGCTGCTACCGCACTCCCCACTGCCTGCTCTTGCTCCTTACACTGCGGTGACACAGTCCCTGACTGAGCGTCGAGAGCCTGAGACTCGTGTTTCCATTCCCGAGCGTCGAGAGCCTGAGTCTAGCTTTGACCTTGAGCCTGAGCCTAGCGCTGCTGTCCGTGCTCGTGTTCCTCGTGTTCATCGTCCGCATGCTCCGGCTGTCCCCGGCACTCACGATATGACACTCCGTCCTTCCTCTGTTCCTCACCGTGTTGTCCTACCGTTGCCTCCTGCGTCCTCTCTTCCTGGCGTTGCTGACCTTCCGTCTGACCTTGCTCGTGCGTCCAGTCCGACTATTACTCGCTTCCTTGCTACGGTTGTGACAGACCCTACGTTCTCATCTCCTGCTGCATCTGCCTTAGTCGCTGAGCTCGTTGACTTTGCTGATGTGTACCGCCTAGACTAACTTGCGAGTCTTGTCTCTGATTCTGACCCTGCCTGTCCTCCGTCCGTTGGGGGTGAGACTGCCCTTGGCTGTACCACCCTTGGCTGTGACGTTCTTGAGGACAGACAGGAGGAGCTAGAGTGCGTTACGGCCACTTCACCCCATCACGCGACCATGGTGCTTGCCCCTGAGGGAGACCCGGATGCACTTGACATCCCCACCCCGCGCTCCTACAGGGAGGCGATTTCGGGTGAGTACTTCTATCACTGGCAGACAGCCATGGACGCAGAGATGGCTTCCTGGAACTCCACAGGTACCTACGTTGGCGAGGTTCCCCCACCTGGGGTGAACATCGTCAGTGGCATGTGGATTTTCAGGGTGAAGTGGCCACCGGGTTCTCCGCCTGCTTCCAAGGAATGTTACATTGCTCGAGGCTTCAGTCCACCCCGAAGATGACCACTCTTCGGGTGTTGCTACACGTTGCAGCTCAGCGTGAATACGAGCTACACTCCCTCGACTTCTCGACAACTTTCTTGCAGGGTAGCCTTCACGAGGCCATCTGGTTGCGCCGTCCATAGGGCTTCACTGGGACTTTTCCTGAGGGTACCCAGTGGAGCCTATGGCGACCAGTGTACGGCCTGCGTCAGATGCCCTGCGAGTGGCACGACACACTGAGGACGACACTTGCGGCTCTTGGGTTTGCTCCTTCGACTGCTGATCCGTCGGTGTTTCTACGCACCGACACTACTCTGCTGCCGTTCTACATCCTCGTGTACGTCGACGACTTGGTTTTTGCTACTGCTGACGACTTCGTGTACACCCGAAGATGACCACTCTTCGGGTGTTGCTACACGTTGCCTTGTGTCGCGAGCACAGACTAGAGCACCAAACGAAGCACATTGCTTTTCGCTACTTCCTTGTGCGTGAGCTGCAGCAGCGTGGTCAGCTGCGCCTTGCTTTCGTGGCCTCTCGGGCCAACACTGTTGATGTCTTCACCAAGGCCCTTGGGGCTGGTGATCATCACCGTTTCTGCACTACTCTTGGGCTTGTGCCCACTCTGCCTCACCTGCTGGTTGCTTGACTTGCTCTTGTTGTACACTGATATATATCTTTATACCTGCTTGTTTGCTCTTCCTAGGTTGTGATCAGTGTACTGTCTTGCTATTATAACCCTGCATGTGGACTGGCCTTGTGGCTGCTTGCTTGTGCTCAGATTGTGTGGTGTCCTTGAGATCCACCCTGAGCTTTGCTTTGCTTTGCTTGTTCTCTTGCTTGATTGGTCTTGTGACCGTCTGTTGTGTTTGCTATCTCCCACTTAGCCTATGGGGGTGTGTCAAACTTTATGTTTGTGTTCTTTCTGGGGTATAGTGGGTTAGCCTATACGGGGTACAACACTTTAGGGGTCAGGTACTTGTACTCATGCATGCTACCTAGTCCACCATCCCTGCCTGCTTATTCTAACATCGGAGCGGAGACATAAAGTTGAAGAACGAAGGACATCTACTAGAGTGGCCACCTAAGTGGGAGAAGGGGCTAGGTGAGCCTCTAGCTCATCCATAAGTGAGGGAAGTAGAGGTGGATCAGTAGTCATGTCCAAATAACATGCGAGTGATGCCCGAATAGCGCCAAAATCGAAAAACGCCTGTATAACGTCGAAATAACGCAAGATTTCGGTAGTGCCTCGGTATGCTCTCAGCGAGCGCGCAAATTCTGGACGAGTAAGAGCTTTCCAAAGAAAGTGAGCAAGAAATTTGGGAGGAAAAGGAAGAGCAAGCAGGAGCTAGGAATTCGCGAGGTCGTGTGGAGAACGGCAAAGAGCACCATGTTCACTGACTGGCTACAGGAAAAAGGGAAGGGAGGAAGGAAGAAGCTCTTTAGACAATTGGTTGGCTGAATTGTTGACTAATGTGGGAAGCGGGGTGAGTGACCTGGTGCGATTGATAGGGACTAGGGTTAGAGGGTGATGTGGTAGGGAAATATTGTATAGAAGGTGATATATGACAAGAAGTTCAGCTCAATTTTGTGGTCTAAAGACAGCTACGATGAGCTGTTTAATGCGTGCAATTTGGACTTGGTCCGATCCAACAACTGGCCGTTTTCATGAACCGTCGGAAAAATAAAGAGAGCATATCCTACCGAATGCGCTTCAGATGACCAATGACGAGCCCTGTTCAGGGTAAAGCCAGCTGTACCAACCTCAACCTCAGAGAAGGTACAGTTCAGGAAGAGCCATTAATACAAAAAGCGTTTTGTATTGAGAGTTCTTAGAGCTTCAGATTACAAAGAGGATGGATCAAACCATCCATTACTACCATTGTTGTGCATGCGTTTTACCTACGGGGTGTGATGAAGCAGGCGGCTTGGCAGGCAACGGCCCGTTTGCTCGACGTCGGCTTTTGAATTCTTCGCGTATACTTACCGACGGCTCGCCTGCAGTCATTCCCTTGTGTAGTTTTCACGTCAGCCTCACCTTGTTTGCATTCGACGCGCCGCGAATTAGGATCACATTGCCGCCCAACACGCGCCGCGCTTTAGAGTCCAATCAAGCAGCTGAGAATCCGACACTGTTAGCAGACTAGCACCCGTGATACCGCTTCTCTTCTTCGCGGGACCCGCGCCGTCGTAATTCGCGTCGGCACTAGACCTAGCGCGAGCCAATGGCGACGCTGTGGAATCGCGTGCAGCGCATGTGGCGGGACCGGTGGCTGGGGCTCATTCTCGGCATGTGGCTGCAGGCGTGCGGGGGGATCTCGTACGCGTTCTCGTTATACTCCGCCGCGTTAAAAGACAAGCTACAGTACTCGCAGGAAGCCGTGGACGGCTTAGGGACCGCAAAGGACATTGGCGGGAACGTGGGGATTGTATCAGGTTTACTGATCGATCTCATGCCCGCATGGGCTATCCTCGCTATAGGCGCCGCCATGCATCTGTTCGGGTACTCCATGGTACACCTATCCTCGTTATAGGCGCGCAGTGAACATTGCACCTGACTGCATCCGTGAATCAGCTTAGTACTTCCATCGACACAAAGCGCTCTCCTTCTCTCGCTTTCTGCCCCTATCCCCCCTCCTCCTTGTCCCCGCTTCCATCCCTCTCCCTGTTCCATCCCCCTCCTCCTTTCACTCCCCTTCCCCCACTAAATACCTATCCGGGTCTCAGTTCCTCACCACCTCCCTATTCCGCCCTTTCAACCCTCGCCCCCCTCTCTCCCTCCCGCCACCAATCACCGCGTGCCAGCTGTACATGGCGTCGATGGGGATCACCCGCCCTCCATTCTGGCAGGTGCGTTCCCCCCACGGCTCTTGCAGTGGGATCTCTCTCTGAAACCAGAAACACCTGCTTATGGAAAAATATCCTGTTCAGGCGAGTCTTGCCGGCTAGTTGGCCAGTAGTCCTGCGATTCTTCAGGTGAACCGAGTCTCAGATAATTGTGACTGACTGATTGTGTGTGTCTCAAGTAGCCTCACAGGTGATTCTGCTCTTGCCTTTGTTTGCACCCAAACCCAATGCTCTCTCGATGCTCTCATACCTTCAAATGTCTTGCTTTTCAGCGGGTTCAAGAGTATCGTCCCTCGTCCCAATGCGTGCAACCATGTGTCCGTGTGTTCAATCCAACCCAATCCTCAAGTGCATCCACTGTGTGTGTGGGTGGCGTGCCATTCATCATCATGTGCTGGGTCGCATGGTGGCATCATCACATCATCTCATCCATGCCATGCCTATGTATGCCATGTCATGCCATGCCATGCCATTCCATGCCATGCCATACCATGCGATGCCATTCCATGCCATCTCATGCCATGCCATGCCATTTCATGCCATGCCATGCCACGTGGCAGATGTGTGCATTCATCATGCTGGGAACCAATGGAGCCACGTGGTTTAACACGGCCGTGCTCGTCACGTGGTGAGGGTCCCTCTCGACCTCTGCGTATGTATCACTTCTGAGAACCCTCAAAAGCCATACAAGCTCTCACTCACGTGCATGGCTCCACAACCACTTTGCTGCTTCCCCTACAAGCTCCCACTTTTTTTTTTTCCGTCTCCTTCGTCCCACGCCCCCTCTCCGCCCGCCCAAACAACCGGACCCGTCTTTCCCCTCTACTGTCGTCCCGCCATTCCTTCTGCGCTCGACCCACTTCCCCCATCGCTTTCCGCCTCTCCCCTTCCCGTTCCTCCCCCGATCCCCATCCCTTGTGTCTGGTTGGTTCCACCTGGCAGCATTCGCAACTTTGAGGGCGACAGGGGCGTGGTGGTGGGGCTGCTCAAGGGGTTCATAGGGCTCAGCGGAGCTATCTTCACGCAGGTCGGTGAGGTTGATTGAGAAGGGGCCTGGCATGGGCGGCAGTGCCTGTGAGGGATGGAGGTAACAGCAATGCCTGTGCGGCTGCTCAAGGGCTTCATTGGACTCAGCGGCGCCATCTTCACGCAGGTCAGTCAGATTGAGAAGGGGCCTGGCAGTGGCAGCAGCATTGCCTGTGAGGTGGTGGGGCTGCTCAAGGGACATTATACGGCTTAGTGGAGGTAATAGAGCTGAGGTCAGTCAAACGGAGGAGGGCGATGGTGGTGGAGGTGGAAAGGAGTACCTATGAGCAACGGGTTTCTGGTGGTGATGGGAAAGGCAGTATTTGTGGGGTTGACTGGGGGATGGGTGGGGGGGCTTCATAAGAACCACCCGCGGAATTATCTTCTCAGGTTAGTCATATTGTGGGGGAGGGGGAGAGGAGGAACGTGGGGGAGGGGAAGGGAAGGCTGTGCCGGGTGTTGGCTGTGCCGGGTGTTGGCTGTGCCGGGTGTTGGCTGTGCCGGGTGTTGGCTGTGCCGGGTGTTGGCTGTGCCGGGTGTTGGCTGTGCCGGGTGTTGGCTGTGCCGGGTGTTGGCTGTGCCGGGTGTTGGCTGTGCCGGGTGTTGGCTGTGCCGGGTGTTGGCTGTGCCGGGTGTTGGCTGTGCCGGGTGTTGGCTGTGCCGGGTGTTGGCTGTGCCGGGTGTTGGCTGTGCCGGGTGTTGGCTGTGCCGGGTGTTGGCTGTGCCTGGTGTTGGCTGTGCCGGGTGTTGGCTGTGCCGGGTGTTGGCTGTGCCGGGTGGTGGCTGTGCCTTGCGTTGCTGCCTCTCGTCCGTCCCTCGTCATCCCGATCTCCCTCCGTGCTTTCCTCTCCCTCCGTGCTTTCCTCTCCCTCCGTGCTTTCCTCTCCCAGCCGGCCACCCCAACCCCTCCCTGTATACGCACACACTACAACTCCCATTCCCCTCTTCCCCCTCCTTGTCATCTCCTTCCCCCTCCTTGTCATCTCCTTCCCCCTCCTTGTCATCTCCTTCCCCCTCCTTGTCATCTCCTTCCCCCTCCTTGACCTCTCCTTCCCCAGCTCTACTCCGCTCTCTACGCACCTCACACGGCGCCCTTTCTGCTGCTCTGTGCGCTGCTGCCGCCACTAGTGGCGCTGCTGGCGATGGCAGTCATTCGCCCCATGAACCCTCACCTGCTCGCCGCTGCAAAGAGAGACACCGGTGACAACAGCCGCTTTCGCTTCCTCTACGTATGTACCCCTCTTTCCTCTGTGTCTTGCCGCCACTCTCGTTGCTTCACCAATCCCCCACTGGTGGCGCTGCTGGCAATGGCAGTCATTCGCCCCATGAACCCTCACCTGTTCGCTGCTGCAAGGAGAGGGACCGGGGACAACACCCGGTTTCGCTTCCTCTACGTGCGTAGGCCCCTTTCCTCTGTGCTTTCCGCCGCTCTGCTTCCTCTATATGTGTTGCACCTGCCTGTCATGTCATTCCCCCCACGGACGCACGCCTTCTCACTGCTGCAAGGAGAGGCACCGGGGACAACACCCGGTTTCGCTTCCTCAATGTGCGTGTGTTGCTCCCGTGTCCCTCTGTGCCTTGCTGCTTCTCTGATTGCCGGTCTATGTGCTGTGCTAGTGCTGCTGACCAGTTGACCCTCGCCTCGTCTGCTGGTTGCTGCCGGGAAACGTGCCACTGTGCCACCATCAATTCCCTTCTGCTTCTTCTATGCGTGCCGCTCCCCCCTCTACTCGCACCCTGCTCTCCCTTCCTTAGCTCGCCCTTTTCTCGCAACTGAGCTTGCCCGCCTACTACCTCTGTACCTCCGAGCGTGTGGTTTTTGAGAATAAAAAAAAAACACATGCTTGAGCTTGCCAGCCTACAACCTCTGTACCTCTTTCCCTCATGTGAACGTGGCACTGGACCCTTCCCCGTGCAGGTGGTGGGAGTGGGCCTAGCGCTCTACCTCATGCTCGCAATGACGCTGCAGGTACATACGCTGTAGGGCCGTAAGCCGTGGCATGGGTCCCTTGGCTCTGCTGCAGGTGATGGGAGTCGCGCTATACCTCATGCTCGCAATGACGCTGCAGGTATGCTGTAGAGCCGTAAAACCCTTGCTCTGCTTCATGCTCTGCCTCATGCTCTGCCTCATTCTCTGCTTCATGCTCTGCTTCATGCTCTGCTTCATGCTCTGCTTCATGCTCTGCCTCATGCTCTGCCTCATGCTCTGCCTCATGCTCTGCTTCATGCTCTGCCTCATGCTCTGCCTCATGCTCTGCTTCATGCTCTGCCTCATGCTCTGCCTCATGCTCTGCCTCATGCTCTGCCTCATGCTCTGCCTCATGCTCTGCCTCATTCTCTGCTTCATGCTCTGCTTCATGCTCTGCTTCATGCTCTGCTTCATGCTCTGCCTCATGCTCTGCCTCATGCTCTGCCTCATGCTCTGCCTCATGCTCTGCCTCATGCTCTGCTTCATGCTCTGCCTCATGCTCTGCTTCATGCTCTGCTTCATGCTCTGCCTCATGCTCTGCTTCATGCTCTGCCTCATGCTCTGCCTCATGCTCTGCCTCATGCTCTGCCTCATGCTCTGCCTCATGCTCTGCCTCATGCTCTGCCTCATGCTCTGCCTCATGCTCTGCTTCATGCTCTGCCTCATGCTCTGCCTCATGCTCTGCTTCATGCTCTGCCTCATGCTCTGCTTCATGCTCTGCCTCATGCTCTGCCTCATGCTCTGCTTCATGCTCTGCCTCATGCTCTGCCTCATGCTCTGCCTCATGCTCTGCTTCATGCTCTGCCTCATGCTCTGCCTCATGCTCTGCCTCATGCTCTGCCTCATGCTCTGCTTCATGCTCTGCCTCATGCTCTGCCTCATGCTCTGCCTCATGCTCTGCCTCATGCTCTGCTTCATGCTCTGCCTCATGCTCTGCCTCATGCTCTGCCTCATGCTCTGCCTCATGCTCTGCCTCATGCTCTGCCTCATGCTCTGCCTCATGCTCTGCCTCATGCTCTGCCTCATGCTCTGCCTCATGCTCTGCCTCATGCTCTGCCTCATGCTCTGCCTCATTCTCTGCTTCATGCTCTGCTTCATGCTCTGCTTCATGCTCTGCCTCATGCTCTGCCTCATGCTCTGCCTCATGCTCTGCCTCATGCTCTACCTCATGCTCTGCCTCATGCTCTGCCTCATGCTCTGCTTCATGCTCTGCCTCATGCTCTGCCTCATGCTCTGCGTCATGCTCTGCCTCATGCTCTGCCTCATGCTCTGCCTCATGCTCTGCCTCATTCTCTACCTTATCCTCTGCCTCACGCCCTGCCTCATGCTCGTACCAGCTTCCATTCTGACATACATCTTTCATATTGATGCCATGTTCCGTATATTGTTTCTCATACCCATGCCCCACCCTATGTCCCAACCATTCCCTCCCCTTGCCCCACCCACGCATAACCCAGGAGACCCTATCCCTCTCTCGCCCCTATCGCCTTGTTTCCATGGCTGGAATGGTGCTGCTGCTCGCCCTCCCCATCTCCCTCCCGGTATGCTGCTGCATGCTGTTCCCCTCCCCTCATCTGTACAGCCTTCTCCATTTGTTGTTAAAAAATTTGAGGCGCCTCAATAAAAGTATGCTGCTACTCCCGCTCCCCCTTCCCTCATCTGTACGCCCTTCTCCATTTCGTGTTAAGATGCCGTTTGACTTCCCTCCATCCCCCCTGACGGACCATTCTCCTCTCAAAAGTTTCGCATTTTCTATTCCAAGCATTCCTGACCGCGGCCCATGGACCAAGCATTCCTTACCGCGGCCCATGGACCAAGCATTCCTGACCGCGGCCCATGGACCAAGCATTCCTGACCGCGGCCCATGGACCAAGCATTCCTGACCGCGGCCCATGGACCAAGCATTCCTGACCGCGGCCCATGGACCAAGCATTCCTGACCGCGGCCCATGGACCAAGCATTCCTGACCGCGGCCCATGGACCAAGCATTCCTGACCGCGGCCCATGGACCAAGCATTCCTGACCGCGGCCCATGGACCAATTCTTGGGGGGTTGGAGTTAACCAAGGTGGAAACTGCATAGTTGGTTGTTTTGAAAAAAGGTGTAGAAGCGATTACAGAAGGTCTGAACATGCAACGGCGTTCGATCTGTTTAAATAATAAGCTGGGTTTATTGGAGATTTAGGCAGTGGCCCGAATCAAAGAAGGTAACCTTTTATATGTCAGCTGGAAGCTCTGTTGCCTTTCTTTCCAGCAGTCATGCCCCTTTCTTTCCATCTCTCCCTCTCCCTCTCCCTCCCTTTCATCACCAAGCCCTCCATCAGAATCTCCATTACTTTCCATCTCCTCTCACCCGTTTTCTTCCCTTCCGGACTATCCTTTCCGACTCCTCACTTCGTCTCCACCCGCCCGTTTCCCCTCCCACTCTCATCACCCTCCCCCTGGCATCCTTATCTAGTGGGTCAAAGCAGGGAGCCCCATGGCCTCCAAGCTATCTCTCCATTCGCAACACGAGTACCACGACCAACTCTCCTCTGCCACCTCCTCCTTTACCTTCAAGCCGTCTACCACACGTATAGACCATTCCTCACTCTCTGATGACAACGACACCACTGGAGGCGAGTCGTACCCTCTTCTCACTGTCCCTGACAGCAGCAGCAATGGCAGTAGGCTCGGCAACAGCAGCAGCGGCGGAGGCGGAGGCGGCGGAGGGGGTGTAATGAGCAGAAAGGGCAGCTGTGAGTCGTTCAGTGACACTGTAGGGAGCCCCCTTAAGGCCACCTCCTTTACAAGCACACCTGCCTCCCACAGCGGTGCGGGGCGTGCGAATGAGCGGGCTGGTTCTGACATGCCGCATACATTCGATACAAGCACACCTGCTTCCGACAGGATTGCAGGGTGGGCGAGTGAGAGAGTGGGTAGCCCAAGGGAGCGCGGGGGAGGAGGCTTGGGGCAGGCAGGCAGCAGCAGCGCGGTGGGAAGTGCCTTGGCAGGTGGTGTGGGGGGGACTGACAGTGGCATTGGTGGGTGTGGGGAGGGCGGGAGGGATGGGAAGAGCATGGAGGGTGAGAGTAGGAGCAGCGGTGGTGGGGGAGTGTTGGAGGTGGGAAGGGGACATCAAGTGAGTGCTCTTCGTGTGGGCATGGATCACACCCTGCTGCAGGCTGCTGTCACTCCCGAGTACTGGTGAGACTGTTTTGGAGGCGCCTCAGATTCAGTCTTTGAATGGGCCCGAGCGACTCGGTGAGGAGAGCAGTGTGGGAGGAAGCGAGCTGGGCTGCGTGGGAGGGGCGAGGAGAGCAGCGTTGCAGTTGCTCTTTTTAGCTTTTGAAAATCCCCATCAGCGACACAAGCTTCATGTGGGAGGGCATGCACCTCACCTCATGCTTGTGCTGACAGGCAGGATGTGCTTCTGTGGTACCCGGCGCTGAGGCATGTGTTAAGTGGATGCTCACTCGATTATGTCATATGGGCGCGGGGAGGAGGGGAGGAAGGGAGGGGAGGCGGGGAGGAGAGGAGGAGGGGAAGAGGGAAGGGCGGGGGGGGAATGGGGGGAGGAGGGGAGGGGGGGGGGGGAGGGGTGGAGGGAGGGGAGGGGAGGGGTGGATTGGGGAGCAGGATAGCGGGGGAGAAGGGGAGCGGGGGAGCAGGGGAGTGGGGGAAGGGGGGGAGGGGAGGAATGGAAGAGGGGGGGAGGGGAGGATGGGTGGCAGGGGTGATAGGGGAATTCTGAACTTGTACCAGCTGACGGCTGACGGCTGTAGGCTGTAGGCGCGCATTGGGTCTAGAACAAGCGGATGAACCAACGAGCCATTCCTCCTCCCTCACTGTGTCCTTCCCTCGTTATCCCTTGCTCTTGGTCTTCATCGTCTTGATTGTTCTCCTCCAGCCCCTTTCCTCCTATCCATCTCAAACCCCTTCTCCACCTCCCAACCACTGTTCCCGCCTCCGCTTGCTCCGCCCGGTAGGCTGCTGTTCTTCGTTATGGGCTGTGGCACGGGGCCCGATGAGATGAGGCGTTGCTCTTCCTTCTGAGGCACCTCAAAAGTTCCTCCATGCTTCCTTCCCTCCCCCTCTCTCAACCGCTCTTCCCCCTTCCCACTCGTCGCAACCAGGCTGCTGTTCTTTGCCATGGGCTGTGGCACGGGGTCAGGGCTCACTGCCATCAACAACCTGGCGCAGGTAAGTGTGGGGATGGGTTCGGGGGCAAGGAAAGGAGCGGAAGAGGGAGATAGTGAGGGGTGTGGGGGGAGGGAACGATGGGAGGCATGGGGTGCAGCACAGGACCCGGGCTCACTGCCATCAGCAACCTGGCGCAGTGAAGGAGGGAAGAGGGGAGGGGTCAGATGGGATGGGAGGGGGGTACAGGTGGGTGGGGAATGAGGGGCGTGGGGTAAGGGGGATGTCTCTCGCTCTAGTGGGATGTCTCTCGCTCTAGTGGGATGTCTCTCGCTCTAGTGGGATGTCTCTCGCTCTAGTGGGATGTCTCTCGCTCTAGTGGGATGTCTCTCGCTCTAGTGGGATGTCTCACGCTCTAGTGGGACAGTGGAAGGACAGGGCATTATAATCAAGTCACGGAGGCCAAAATGATCGAATTGCGCCATGCCTCACCAGCACTCCAGTGCCGGTGAGGTGTGGCATGCAGCGTGCTGGTGAGGTGTGGCATGCAGCCCACAAGTCAAATGAGACGCAACCAACCCCCCCTTCCTCCCCTTCCTCCCTTCTCCCCCATCAGGTGGCGGAGTCCCTGGGCTCTGCGAGTGTGGGCGCCCTGGTTGCTCTTGTCAGCATCTGGAACTTTTTAGGAAGGATGGCGGCAGGGTAGGTACATTGTTTCCAAAACTTGTATATCTGTGCATGTGTTTCGTGTCTTCCATATCGTGTGTCTTGTAATTCCTTTGGTCTATGCAGTCTCTTCAGTCCCACCTGCATGCCTGATCGAGCAATGCCTGAAACCCTACAAACACACCATCTCATTCCATTCCCCAACACCTCTCCACTCCATCTCCCTTTACCTCTCTCCCTACCCTTGTGTCACATGCGCCCCGCTTCCCCCCAGGTACGTGTAGGAGCAGTGCTTAAAGCGCTGGAGCACACCTCGCCCTCTCTGCATGCTGCTAGGGAGGTGGTGTTCAAATCACTAAAACAACTCCCTCCTCTTCCGCCCTACCTTCCCCCCCACCTTACCACCCTCATCCCTCCCCCCCCTTTCACCCAGCTACGTGTCGGAGCAGTGTTTAAAGCGCTGGTGCACGCCGCGGCCCCTCTGCATGCTGCTCGTGCAGGCCACGATGGGGTGCGCGCACCTGCTGTTCAGCATTGGGGGTGAGTGGCATGGCATGCTTTGAAGTGAAGTGGCCTTCGGTGGCCGAGGAACGGTAAGGTGTTAGTAGTGCTGTGTGGTCAGTGCTGTGTGGTCAGTGCTGTGTGGTCAGTGCTGTGTGGTCAGTGCTGTGTGGTCAGTGCTGTGTGGTCAGTGCTTCTGCAGGCAGCATGGGGTGCCCACCTCATCTTCAGCATCAGAGGTGAGCTGATGACTTTCTACCATGCGCCACTTCAAATAAGTGGTCTTTTGAGTCGACTCAAAATGACTTTCTAGCAGGCGCAACTTCAAGTGCTGTGCTTCTGTCAAGGGTGCTGCTGCAGGCTTCTATAGGTGCAACGCTTAGGTGCTGTGCTTCTGTGTAGAAGTTGGGTGTGCCTGCTGCAACCCTCCATGGGATGGGGTATGTGCACAAGCGCCCTCGACACAAGTGTCAACCATATGCACACGCACCCTACTGCTCCCGTTCCTTAGCCCTTTTCATTTCCAACCCCTAGCTATTCCCGAACCACCCAATACACACCCCAGCGGACATGACAGTTCATGACAGTTTCCTTGCCCCCGTACCTCCACCTGCCCAACCTCCGCTTGCGTACTCACTCAGCAGCAATGGTGGGCTGGCACACGGGGCATTGGATGCTGCTGGATACCACCTTTCCACTACACCAGTGCGGCATCCTTCCTGCGTGAATATTGCCCCGCGACCGCCCAACCAGCGCCAGCCGGGTCCTATGTGTGGCCCCTGCCTCTGCCTCTGTCCTATGTGTGGCCCCTGCCTCTGTCCTATGTGTGGCCCCTGTCTCTGTCCTATGTGTGGCCCTAAACCCTAAACCCTAAACCCCTGTCTCGCCACCCGCAGACCCTCTGCTGCTCTACCCGGCAGCAGCGCTGGTGGGGGCGGCACATGGGGCGCACTGGACTCTCATGGTCACCACTGCGTCTGAGCTCTTTGGGCTGAAACACTTCGGAGCATTGTACAATACACTCAGGTGAATATGCACCCTCAGGTGAATATGCACCCTCAGGTGAATATGCACTCTCAGGTGAATCCCACACACTCAGGTGAAGTCACCGTGTCAGGTGAACATGCAGTCTCAGTTGAAACCCACTCTTTGTTTCTGAAATCGTTTTTTCATTGCCCATTCCACGGTGCCACTCCAGTTTGTTTGCATTTGTCCCGTCCTCACCCTCCTCCCCCTCCTTGCCACCCTTACCCTCCTTCCCCCATTCCCCCACCTTCCCTCCATTCCCCCCCTGCCCCTCTTTCCCTGCTTCCCATCGCCTTCCTCGCCTCTTTCTCTTCTTCTCCTCTCAGCATATCATCCACAGTCGGCTCCTACTGCCTCTCGGTCAAGCTCGCTGGCTACATCTACGACCGTCAATCTGCGATCCAACGATCAGCCTTGCTCCACCTGCAAGGCCTCTCCTCGTCCGCCTCTCCCTCCCTCTCTCCACCCACAACCGCCACCATTGCAAACTGGGGAGCTGAGGCAGATGCAGCGAGTCAACAGGGGGCAGCACAGGCACAGCTACAGCTGGAGGCATCAGAGCTGCCCCACCGGTGCATGGGCCCAGACTGCTTCCGCCTCACCTTCCTCGTGATGGCACTCGTGTGCGTCGCTGGAATATGTGCTCTTCTCAACCTGGTGGCTCGCACGAGACGGCTGTACCAGGTGAGGGGTGGCGAGTGAGGGGTGGCGAGTGAGGGGTGGCGAGTGAGGGGTGGCGAGTGAGGGGTGGCGAGTGAGGGGTGAGGGTTGAGGGGTGGGGGTTGGGGGAGAGGAGCGAGCATAGGCCTGACTTCTTCCGCCGGACGTTCCTTGTCATGGCCCTCGTGTGCCTTGCTGGCATCTGCGCTCTTCTGAACCTTGTCATCCGCACAAGACAGCTGTCAGTACCAGGTGAGGTGAGGGGTGAAGAGTGGCCAGAGGGCTAGCAGGGGTGTTTCCACCTCGCCCCACCTTCCCTCACCTCCCTCGTGATGGCCCCCTTGTGCCTTGCTGGCGTGTGTGCCCTACTCAACCGCGTGTGATCCCCACATGGCGATAGTGATGTGTACCAGGTGAGGGGTGGTCTAGGGTTTAGGGTGGTCAGTAGTGTGTTGAGAATATTGGATTGGTCAGTAGTGTGTTGAGAATATTGGAGTGGTCAGTAGTGTGTTGAGAATATTGGAGTGGTCAGTAGTGTGTTGAGAATATTGGAGTGGTCAGTAGTGTGTTGAGAATATTGGAGTGGTCAGTAGTGTGTTGAGAATATTGGAGTGGTCAGTAGTGTGTTGAGAATATTGGAGTGGTCAGTAGTGTGTTGAGAATATTGGAGTGGTCAGTAGTGTGTTGAGAATATTGGAGTGGTCAGTAGTGTCTTGAGAATATTGGAGTGGTCAGTAGTGTGTTGAGAATATTGGAGTGGTCAGTAGTGTGTTGAGAATATTGGAGTGGTCAGTAGTGTGTTGAGAATATTGGAGTGGTCAGTAGTGTCTTGAGAATATTGGAGTGGTCAGTAGTGTGTTGAGAATATTGGAGTGGTCAGTAGTGTCTTGAGAATATTGGAGTGGTCAGTAGTGTGTTGAGAATATTGGAGTGGTCAGTAGTGTCTTGAGAATATTGGAGTGGTCAGTAGTGTGTTGAGAATATTGGAGTGGTCAGTAGTGTCTTGAGAATATTGGAGTGGTCAGTAGTGTCTTGAGAATATTGGAGTGGTCAGTAGTGTGTTGAGAATATTGGAGTGGTCAGTAGTGTCTTGAGAATATTGGAGTGGTCAGTAGTGTGTTGAGAATATTGGAGTGGTCAGTAGTGTCTTGAGAATATTGGAGGCGATAAATTTGGGTCGACTCGAAAGCCTCCGGCGAGGTGAAAGTGGGGAGCAATGAGAGAGGGACTAAGTACGCCCTACTTCCACCTTTGTACCACCTCCCCACCACCTTCCTCTTCCTGCAAACCCTAAGCGAAATGAGGGGATTCGCCGAGGTATCGCCCTCCTTGCCTGCAAGTGGAGAATAGAAAGTGATGTGGCCAATGCTGAGATGCGAACGCATATGTAAGTCCAAGGCGTGCGGTGCACTGCTCTTAGGGCTGGGTGCATGGGTTTGAACAGGAGCGGGGTGAGTGGCACATATGGGATTTCCATCCCTTGCCCTTGTCATGCACGCACACATGTGTACAGCATGCACATGCAATCACGTTTGCACACATCAACACGTACAGATGTTGCATGCCCATGCATGCAGGCATGAATCTATATCCCTCACCAACTGCTCTCTCCTCCGTGTGTGCCTTGCCTCCCTCTGTTCCATCCTCATTCAGGAGTTTCATAAAGTGCAGAGAAGCTGAGCAATGCTGTAGAATGGGTGCCAGTGCATTTATTACTGTATCTTTACACATGTCTAGATGTTCCATACTTCCAAACCAAATGTATATCCATGTAATTATAGCACCGTACTGTTTTTTCAACGCTGAACCGTATGCTGAAAAGGCTTCAGTGGAACGGGTGAGATAGAGAATCGGTCAGGCCGTTGTATTGAAGCCTTGCAAGGACGAAAGGACTTTCTACAGCAAAAAAATAAGCACTAATGAACAACGGTAAAAGAAGAAAAATAAGTTCATGGTGTGTTTCTCTTGTCACACACCTAATTTTAACCCATCTACAGTTGCATTGCTCCACGTGCAAGTGCTAACCGCTCTGTATGCTCCAACAGTACCTGAACCACACACATGCGACTCGACGGAACAGAGAAAGGCAAACCAGCGCATCTTTCTTGCAAAATGTCACAGAAAAGACCGGTGGTTCTGGAATTTACTCCCTCGTCCTCTCCACTCTCCGAACAACATCCTCTTTGCCTCGAAACCTCACCTGTCTCATGCGGTGCGCGATGGCCTTGCATCCCGTGACTGCCAGCTTCACCACCTCCTCAAATGTGTCCATTGGGAGCTTGGCGTCCATCTGTGGTAGATGCAGCAGGGCATGAGAAAGGGTGGAGAAGCAGGGGGTTATGCACAAGGGAGCTTCACCACCTCCTCAAACGTGTCCATTGGGAGCTTGGCGTCCATCTGTGGCACACGTGGCAGATGCAGCGGGGCATGAGAGAAGATAGAAGCAAGGTTATGCTTCACCAACTCCTCCACTGTGTTCGTTGGTAGCATCGCATTCATCTGTGGCAGCGCGGGGCATTGGTGGCAGGGCAGACACAAAGAGTCATGGCTGCTGCAGAGCTCAAAGCAGCGAGTCACGGGCGACAGGAGCGTGCATGCAGCAGGCAGCGTCACCACCTCTTCAAACGTGTCCATTGCTAGCAGAGAGCGAGGAGTGCGAGTAGAGAGTGAGGAGGGCGAGAAGAGAGTGAGGAGGGCGAGCAGAGAGTGAGGAGGGCGAGAAGAGAGTGAGGAGGGCGAGCAGAGAGTGAGGAGGGCGAGGAGAGAGTGAGGAGGGCGAGCAGAGAGTGAGGAGGGCGAGAAGAGAGTGAGGAGGGCGAGCAGAGAGTGAGGAGGGCGAGAAGAGAGTGAGGAGGGCAAGCAGAGAGTGAGGAGGGCGAGGAGAGAGTGAGGAGGGCGAGGAGAGAGTGAGGAGGGGCGAGGAGAGAGTGAGGAGGGCGAGGAGAGAGTGAGGAGGGCGTGGAGAGAGTGAGGAGGGCGTGGAGAGAGTGAGGAGGGCGAGGAGAGAGTGAGGAGGGCGAGGAGAGTGTGAGGAGGGCGAGGGAAGAGTGAGGAGGGCGTGGAGAGAGTGAGGAGGGCGAGGGGAGAGTGAGGAGGGCGAGGAGAGAGTGAGGAGGGCGAGGAGAGAGTGAGGAGGGCGTGGAGAGAGTGAGGCGGGGGAGGAGAGAGTGAGTAGGGCGAGTAGAGAGTGAGGAGGGCGAGGGGAGAGTGAGTAGGGCGATTAGAGAGTGAGGAGGGCGTGGAGGGTGTGAGGAGGGCGAGGAGAGTGTGAGGAGGGCGTGGAGAGCGTTTTGAGACGTCTAAAAACTCCTTGGTCTTGCACCCGTGAGTGCCTACCAATTGTGACTCATGCAACCATGAGTGTGATGCAAGCAGCCCCACCTGCAGCAGTGAGATCTTATCGAATGACGGCAAGTAGCCCACTGTGACGTCTGGGCCGCCCCCACTGTCCTCCACATAGTTCAGGTCTGGCACATGGGCGGGGAAGGGGGGGGGGGGGGGGGGGGAGAGGAGAGAAAAGAGAGGAGAGAGGAGAGAGGGGTGAGGAGAGGGGAGCGGAACGGTAGAGGAGAGAGGAGAGCGGAGAGAGGAGAGAGGAGAGAAGAGAGAGGAGAGCGGAGAGAGCGGGGAGAGCGGGGGATGTGAGAGGTAAGGCATAAGATGTATGAGACACCAGGTTCGGAGCGTGGGTGTGAAGGCAGATGCAGAGAGTGTCACGCCTGGGTAACCACCACTATCCTCCACAGCAGAGTTCCGGTTTGCATGGGGAGGGGTGAGAGGTGCGAGGTGAAAAGGGAGAGGCGAGAGGGAGCAACAGAGGACGAGAAGCGCAGTGCGATGCAATGCAAAACCTGGCTGATACATTGCTAAGAAGCGACAGCAGTGGTGGCAGCGGTGGCAGAGGGGACACCAAACCAAAGCTTACCAACAAGGTGCTGATCTCAGCCGCCCGCCCATAAGGTCAGGGACTTGCTGGCAGTGACACAGCCACCAAGTGCCTTGCTGGTAACCATATGCGCGTAAGCTGCCACGTGGCAGTCCAGTGGTATTCTCTCAACTAACAACGGTGCGGCGCAAAGGTTATTAGAGACGCACGCAGCTGGTAACCAGGTGTCGCATTTCTTTAGGCGCCTGAAAAGTCAGCACTCACCTAGCAGCGGCGTGGCATTGAGGTAACCAGAGGCGCAGCTGGTAACCAGGTCTCGCATTGGGATACCCGCATGGCACAGCGCGAGTGTCGCTGCATTGATGCACGCGGAGCGAGTGCCTGGCGAGGAGTGGTAGGGGAGCAAGCTACGTGAAGGAGAGTGGTATTTAATGGGGATGGATGTGGAGGGGTGTGTGTGTGTGGCAACGGTCAGCTGAGAATCCGTGAGACAGGATAGGTAGGATTGGCGGAAAGGAATGGAGGTTGGCATGCTTTCCAAGCTATGTTCAGCCGTAGCTTGTGAACAGGCTCGTCAGATCGTGAGGAATGGAAGAACATGAGTCGAATTCTGTGTCGATTTTTAAAGTCGGTAAAAAAAAAAAAAAAAAAAAAAAAAAAAAGGTCGTCACAGGCTGCGCTTGGGAAAAAATCACGAAGGTGATCTTAATGGAATGAGGCCATAATGAGACCAAAATACACGATGCACAGCACACAAAGCCGAAAGCCATTCGCTTGCGTGAAGGAAGCAAGTCCAGAGCTCCAAAATTTCACACGGAGCATCAAAGATGCCATCGACACTCATGACCCTTTAACGGAGAAGGATTTCAATTTGACACAAACGGGATGGACAGAGAATGATGGATGTGGGGGAGGGATGGAAGGAAGTGAAGGGGGTGAAGGGGGTGACGCATCCATCCCATCCCACCCACCATGCCTGAAAGCCATGTCTTACCGCCATCAGCTTGCAAGACTTGAACAAAAATGTCTATCTGAAATGCGCAACAAGAGGTATGGATCAGAGTGGAATGAGAAGGGGTGATGGCGGGTGAAAAGCAGGATCAGGAAGGCGAGAAGAGGGCATCCGGCCTCATCGAGAAACTTATTGTCATGTGAAAAACCAGAACCCTACCACCTTAGACCCATGCTTCCCTGGTGTGTGAATCAGCAGGTCATGTCACCTGCGAGCCGGAGACAACCTCTTGTCACCGCACATCACCGCTTATCACCTGTGTGCGCGGTAGGAGCTCGAGCATGATGGCTGCTTCTAGTGTTTGGCGAATGACTAGCGAGATTTCCACTGACCTCCTGATACAGTCACATGGGCGCACAGTCACACCCAGTCCAGTCAGAGTCACACCGAGTCACAGCCACACCCACTCCCAGTCGCGCAAATACACTCACATGTACAGAGAACTCACAACACACACGCGCAGACATACATACACATAGTACATACATACACATAGTACATACATACACATAGTACATACATACACATAGTACATACATACACATAGTACATACATGCACACACAGAGAGACTAATGAGTTGCACATAGGGGTACCTTGTCTTGCGAGGTAATGAGCAGTTCCATAAAGCCACATGCCCATACAGCCACATGCCCATACAGCCACATGCCCATACAGCCACATGCCCATAAAGCCACATGCCCATACAGCCACATGCCCATACAGCCACATGCCCATACAGCCACATGCCCATAAAGCCACATGCCCATACAGCAACATGCCCATACAGCCACATGCACCTCATGCCATAGCCAATCACATCCATGCCATACCCATTCATACCCCATGCCTAACGGTCCATTTTCCCTCACTGCCACTCCTCCGTGCCGAATGCCACCATGCCATACATACTCACACCGCATGCGACCCCACACGCATTCCATGCCACACCAGACACCCACCAGTCCATCTTTCCCCGTCGCCGTCTCTCCTGCATGCTGAAGGCCGCCATGCCATACTCACAGCGCATGCCGGACCAACACAACCCATGCCACACCCCATGCCGTACTCACGCCGCTCATGCTATGCAGCACCTACACACCCCACGCCACACCCCACACACACCGGTCCATCTTCCCCCGTCGTCGTCGCTCCCCTGTGCTGAACGAAGCCATGCCGTACTCACAGCGCACCACTGCCCTGTCAGGGAGGGCATCCGCCCGGTTGGTTACCTGGGAGGTATGGGACGGGACAGAGGGGCGGAGGGGGAGGAAGGTGAAACAAGACAAGGCGAGGGGTCGCAGCAGCTGCAGCCATACTCAAACACAGCGCTCCAACGCCCGCCCTGCCATGGAAGGGCGCAAGGTTCAAAAATACGGTAATCGTAAATTACGGTCCGTTTTTTACGGTAAATTTTCAAAAATACGGCGGTTCTTTTGTTAGAGAACTCTTATCACCAAGAAAAAAAAGGCAAAAACAAGGTCGAATACATTTTCGATCGTGCTTACGCATGCACACAAGCAAAGAGGGGATCGTCCTCTTCATCCTGGTGTTTTTTCCCATCAATTTGGTCCCATAATATGACCGATTTTTTCTTTAGACGAAAATCACCTTTTGGAACCGTTTTTTACCGTTTTTTACGGCCGTATTTTACGGTACCGTTTTTTACGGTAATTTTTCAAAAATACGGTCGTTTTTTTTAACCTTGGAAGGGCGTCCGTTCGGCTCGGAAGTGTGAGAAGCAAGAGAAGGTGGAAAGGGGACAGGGCCAGGAAGGAGGTGATGATCAAGGCAGGGTACAAGCAGTAATAGCTCCTGCGCCTTGATCCAACAGCAATGCTCGCATCGCACTTGCTGTGCGGTTTGCCACCACATACAGCTTTCATTCAATTATCTGCACACCCCCAGAGCGAACAAAATACTCCAATGCCCTTCATATCTTTCCTTTTCTCAGTTTGAGACTCTATACAACGCAGTGTAATAACATTCATTCCTGATCATTACCATCTCAAAGCGCACCCCTTCCTTGCACCTCTTTCTTCTAGACCACTCACGTCCGTTCCACCTAACTGCCAGCCACCACATTCGTCCAGCACCAATGTTTCCCACCACGTAACTAGCAGCAAACCGACATGATTCTCGTAGCCACAAAGCATTCTTCACCGGAAAAAAAAATCCCAAAACCTGAACCGCATATTCTAAACCCTAACCCTGCACACCGAAACTTGAACCCCAAACCCTGAACCTGAAACTACCCCAAACACACAAACCTGACTCCCCAACCTAACTCTGAACCGTAAACTACAAACCTTGAATCCTAAGCTCTGAAACCCAACCCCCCCAAAGCCCCCAGAAAACCCCAAAATCCCCTCTGAACCCCAATAACTCTGAACCCCGAAAACTCTGAGCCCCAGCCTCAAACCCTGAACCCCAAACCCCGAATCCTGAACCCTCGCCTCGCACGGACCGTACACGACTGCCAGGACCTTAGTGTTGCCCATCTCAAAGGACGCTGATTTGGTGTGAAATACTTAGTCGACTCAAAAAGCAGTTCTTCTCACCTCACGAGGCCCGTACACGACCGCGAGCACCTTGGTGTTGCCCATCTCGAATGACGCTGAGCTGATGGGCGCACGTGGGAGGATAAAGAGGAGGGGGGCGAGGTGGAGGGGTGGGAAGGGCCACGACGGGGAGGGGGGAACGGGGGGAGGGGGGAACGGGGGGGGGGCGGAGGGAGGAAAACGGGAGCGGGAGCGTGGGGAGAACTGATGGAGAGGAAAAGTTGCGGCAGCAACGAGGGAGTGGAGGGAATATTGCAGGTGGCAAAGGTGAGCAGGAAACGAAAGAGGGAGTGCAACAAGCATGGGGCGGGAGGAGATGCATGGGGCGGGCGGAGATGCATGGGGCGGGCGGAGATGCATGGGGCGGGCGGAGATGCATGGGGCGGGCGGAGATGCATGGGGCGGGCGGAGATGCATGGGGCGGGCAGGCAAGCATGGGGCGGGTAGACAAGCACGCATGCGGCGGCGGGAGCGGCAAGTGGGGGGAAAGCACGAAGAGAGCAGCATGTCACCCACCCATCAGCAGAGCGCAGCACGCCCAGCTCGCACTTGAGCTGCCGTAGCTGCACGCGCACAGGGGAGGCGGGCGAAAGGAGGGGAAAGGAGGCGAGGAGAGGGGAGAGCGCGCAATGCGAGGGGAGCGAAGAGTAGAAGGGGAGGGGAGGATTATCAGAGAAAGGAGGGATGGAGAAGGGGAAAGGCGGACGCGCCCAGGACAACACACGGGCTGGCGTTGGCTTGGAGGTCGTTTGAACAGGAGAGCACGCGCTGGGTTGTGGCGGCGACTCAATAACAATCAAAACGGCTGGCGCGCGCTTGTGAGGCATCGGAACAGGAAAGTAGCGTGTGGAGGATCTACACTCGATCAAAACCTAAGCGTACTAATGGATAGCGACGCGGTTCGACACCGCACCTAGGTGGGGCAATGCACGAGTCGAACGGACGGGTCGTCCGATGGGCGGCGCGTCTGGAGAAATTTCAAAGCGCACATTTCTGCGACACGTGGGGCGGTCCAACGGTTACCTCTTTGGGTCGTCGGCCGTCGAGCCGCAGCTGCTCCGGCGACACGAACTCCATCGAGCGAACTGTCTCGGCCAATAGAGAGGGAGAAATGACTCGCCTGGGAAGGGAAAGCGAAAATAGCTTTATCAGGCAAAACTTGTTCGGAAATCGGACATTATTTTTTGTTAAAAGTTATATATTTACAAATCAACAACATATCCAGCGCCTGTAACTCAGTGGATAGAGTGTTCGCTTCCTAAGCGAGAGGTCCAAGGTTCGACCCCTTGCTGGCGCGCGATTTTTGTGTGTTTCTCCCTCAGTCTGTCCTTTTCTTTGGACCATCCTCTCTCCCACATCACCTGGTCATGAAGCCTCCACTCCCACGTTTTCACACCAGTGGGTTTGATTGGTCGAACTGTTGAAATATACCACAAAACTGTCCAACTCCAACTCTTGCATCCTTTATTCTGGGTGTGAGGGGCTGTGAGGAGGATTGGGGGGGTAGGGGGGCCTTGGGGAGGGCATGGGGGGGTTTTTCCACTGCACCGCATTTTCATGTACAGCTGTTTTTATCCATGGGGGGTGGGCTCCGGACACCACTTTTCCATCCATGTACACTTGTATGCTCTGTAACTTATACACATTATAAAATCAGTGGAATTGCTTCGATACATGACACATATCCAGCTTCATTAGTCGGCTAACCTAATGCTATTGTAACCAAATTCCTAAGGGAATAACCCTTACAAAAGCTCAGAAGATCCTCCAGAAGAGGCCAGGGAGCAACTATTCTGCCACTCTGGGCGTTTGCACGACGGCTGGTGCAGCAGCAGGGCAGTTTCCAGTGCAGTCACTCTGCGCTGCAAGGCGTCGACATACGCGACAGCCTTGTCGAGCATGGAGGCCGTGTCCCCATGCCCGCGCACCACCAACCGCAGCTTCTGCAGCCCCTCACTGATCCTCTCCCACCTCTGCCTCTCCGCCATGCTCCGCGCCTTGATGCGCCCACCTTCCATTTGCCTGTCCTTGTGCCCACGATTGCGCGGCAACCAATCATCCGCATCATGATCCGCCGCCCCATTGGTGCCTCTGCCGCAGCCGGGAATTCCGCTGTAACCCGCCATCATGTCATCATCTGAATTGTCATAGTAATTCATGCAGGCTAGTGCTTCTGGCGCGGCCATGGCTGCTAGTAACGCAGGCGCATCGGAAGGTGCAGCAGGAGCCGCACCATTGGCGATGGGCAGGCGAAAAGGCATTGGCAGCGGGCCATGGGCGATCGATCTGCCGACGGGGTTGGGGGCATGAGTGGTAACCATTGGCAGCGACGCAGCCGCAGGAGGCGAGGGAGCGTCGGGAGAAGCTGGTGCAGGGCACGGTCCGCCGGCCCCGCTGCCGCGGAGGATGACAGCAGCAATCGCACGGCGCAGCTGACGCGTCACCTCAAGCTCTTCCTCGCTTCCGCCCACGACAGGCGCATCCGCGGAGGGGACCTCCCCGATCTCCGTCGCCTTGCGCTTCCGCGACCCTGCTGCCAGCGCCACGGATGAGAGGAACTCTTTGTCGTCCAGGGATTCCGGCGACGAAGGCGGCTCGTCCGCGGCGGCGGTAGCGGTGTCGTCCGCCGCTGAGTCCGCGAGAGCTTGCATAAGCGCCGCGAGCAGCAGCTTCCGCGCCGCGTTCGCCTCACCGCGCTTCTCGCCGCTCTTTCCGCCGGGTTTACAAGTGTAATCGTCGCTGGCCGCGGCGTTTATGTCGTCTGCAGCATCTATGTCGCCGGAATCGGGACAAACCGGGATGGTTTGCAGGTCGAACATGCGTTCGAAAGGAAACTGATCCACTTCTGTGGGCGCCATCGTTGGGAGCTGAAGAACTGGTTTAGAATAGATAGGATCTGAAAAACGGTGTTGGGGAGTGTGCGTGGGAGAGTTGGGTGTGTTGGATGCGCGTTGTGGGACTGCTTGAGGGAATAGCCAAGTGAGAGAGCCGCGAGAGAATTGCTCCAGTGCCTTGTTTGGTGATTCGCTCTTGCCCACGTGTCCCCGAATTGCTCGCGTAGCCATCAAATTCAGTGATAATTGCTCAAGTGGCCACGCCAAGGGATTTTCGAGGTGTTTTGTTTCCCGAACATATTACCCTACAAGAAATTTAGCCCCGAAAGTCCCCTCACGTACTCGTCTCATCCCACGCAAGCGTTGGGTACTATTCCCCAGTCGAAAATTTCGCAATGTCTAATATGCCCTGCGCATAAAACGGACCAATCATATTTAGACATTACGTGATTAGTCCGGCGAAATCCCAACATGCGATGCTAGTTTGCACCAGCCCCCCCTTGCAGCCCCGTATGGGTTGTCAAGTGGGCCGTTGGCGAGGTTCGTTGGTTAGGGCGGGTCCAAAGTGAAGTCGACATCCGTTGACATCCGATGTCGGTAAATCCTGACGGTTGGAACTCTCGATCCGAGGGTTGAAATTTACCGACATCCATCGACATATTTTCGACGCTTCACTTCAGAAACGCTCTTACAACTTCACTTTCGCTTTCTGCACAGCCTGCCCACATTGGCCTTCTTGACGTGGTCAATAGGGTATCTCAACCTGACCGAACGTGACACAAATTGCGGGTGTTTGCAATTCGCTGTCACCACGATATCAAATCCGTACGCACCTATTGCCTGCAAGAGAAAGGATCACATTTTCAGTATGCACACCCAGCGTGTGCACCCGCGCCTGGATGGTTACCCGAATAGCCCTGCAGGGAAAATGAGGGGAGCACAAATTGTAGCGAGATGAAGTGCGCTTGTTCGCAATTCGCTTCGCTGTCACCACCATATCAAATCCGTACGCACCTATAGCCTTCAAGATAAAGGATCACAATTTCGCTATGTACACCCTGAGAAAATGAGAACGAGAATGAAAATGACTATGAACGAAGTGAGTACAAATAGGAAACCCTAATTGGGTTGTACCCCCTATGGGATACCCCACTATAGCCTACACAAATAAGTAAGCTATGATGTTCTGACACACCCCCATAGGCAAAGTGGGGGAGAACAAGGGGTCACAAGACCAGTCAAGCAAAGCAAGACAAAGCTCAAGGTGGATCACAAAGTCACCACACATTTCGAGCACAAGTTCAAAGGCCAAAAGGCCAGTTCACATGCAAGATCACATATATAGGTAAAGAAGAGGCTAAGCAAGCAAGAGCAACAATATTTGTATATGTGACAATACAAACAAGGTCAAGAAGTGAGCAAGTGAGGCAAGACAGGCACAAGGCCCAACTGAGTGCAGAAAAGCTGATGATCACAAGGCGCAAGTGCCTTGGTGAAGACATCAGCAGTGTTGGCCTCAGAGGCCACGTACGCAAGCCGCAACTGTCCACGCTGCTGCAGCTCACGCGCAAGAAAGTAGCGGAGAGCAATGTGCTTTGTCCTGTGCTCCAGTCGCTGCTCTCGACACAAGGCCAGCATGGCCTTGTTGTCTACGTACAAGACTGGAGGAGAACGAGGCGGCTCTCCAAGGTCGGTCAGCAGGTAGGTGAGCCAGCAAAGCTCCTGGGCAGCCATAGCCCCGGCGTAGATCTCAGCCTCACAACTGGAGCCGAGAACAGAAGACGAGCAGGTAGCCCGCCACGAAACAGAGCCGGAACCAAGACTGAAAGTGTAACCCTGTGACGACCGCTGTGTAGCCTGGTCGTCAGCCCAAGAAGCGTCCGCGTGCCCAGTGAGGACCACTGGACTGCGCCCTCCAAGCACTAGCCCCATGCCCGACGTACTGCACAAGTAGCGCAACACCCTCTTCGCTGCAGCCATGTGCTCTGGTCGGTGTCTCCCAGGAGCAACATAGCGTGCAAGAATGCTAAGAGGGTATGCAAGGTCAGGTCGTGTGCAGGTCATCAGGTACATGAGGTAGCCAACAAGCTCTGGATACGGGCCACTCGACTCTACGGACTCATCCGAAGGCAGAGCTGAGAGCGAGTGGCGAGTAGGCAGAGGAGTGGCCTGAGGCGAGGAGTACGTGAAGCCGAAGCGCTGAAGGACCTGCTGCACCATGTGTGACTGAGTCAGGGTAATGGTGCGGCGTGCTCTGTCCCGGGTGATCTGCAAGCCAAGGTAGCTGGGCAGTTCACCCAGGTCTGTGCACGTGTGTCTCTTCTGCAGCTCGGACTTCACGTAGGCGAGTCCAGCAGTGTCAGCAGTGGCAAAGACCAAGTCGTCGACGTACACGAGGATGTAGAACGGCGGCAGAGAAGTGTCGGTGCGCAGAACCAGCGACGGGTCGGCATTAGAAGGAGCAAACCCAAGTGCCGCCAGCGTAGTCCTCAGTGTGTCGTGCCACTCACGCGGCGCCTGGCGGAGACCGTAGACTGGACGCCGGAGACTCCACTGGGTACCAGGAGGAAAAGACCCAGTGAAGCCAGGTGGGCGGCGCAGCCAGATCTCCTCGTGGAAGCTGCACTGCAAGAAAGCAGTGCTGAAGTCGAGAGAGTGCAGCTCGTAGTCACGGTGAGCAGCAACATGCAGCAGTACCCGAAGAGTGGTCATCTTCGTGGTAGGGGAGAAGGTCTGAAAGTAGTCAACTCCCTGGCGCTGACTGAAGCCACGAGCCACGTAACGCGCCTTGAAGACAGGCGGAGAACCCGGCGGCGGCTTCACCCTGAAGATCCACATGCCACTGACAATGTTCGCCCAAGGAGGGGGGACAGCGACAACGTAGGTGCCTGTGGACTTCCAGGAAGCCATCTTTGCATCCATAGCTGCATGCCACTGAGAAGAGTAGGGACCCTCTATCCCCTCCGCGTAAGAGCGCGAAGTCGGGATGTCAAGTGCATCCGGGTCTCCCTCAGGGGTGAGCAGTACGGACACGAGATGAGGTGAAGCGGTGGCCAGACACTGGAACTCCTCCTGCCTGTCCTCAAGGACGTCCGTGCCAAGGCCACACTCACCCCCGACGGACGGAGGACAGGCAGACTCAGACTCAGCGACCAGACTAGCAGCGTAGTCTAGGCGACAGCGAGCAGAAAAGTTGACGAGCTCAGTGACAAGGGCAGACGCAGCAGTAGACTCGAAAGAAGGGTCAGTGACGGCAGTAGCAAGGAGACGCGTGACAGTAGGACTGGCAGCACGAAGAGAGTACGACTCCGGGTCGGCAAGAGCAGGAAGAGAGGACGCAGGAGGAGAAGGCAAAGGGACACGCAGAGGAGCAGTGGACGGACACAGAGACATCCGGTGCGTGCCAGGGACAGGAGAAGGACGCTGACGCGAACCGCGACCACTAGTGCACGCAGCACGAACAGGCGACGCAGGACGAGACGCAGGCTCACGACGCTCAGTGAGACCTCCAGTAGGACCAGTGTAGGGAGAAGGAGCAGGCAAAGGGGAGACAAGCTGTAGCTGTGACTATGACTGGACAGGCTGTGGACCCTCTAAGGGAGGAGGAGGAGGACCAGGAGAAGGTGTAAGACTAAGAACATGCTGCAGGAGTGGAACGAAGTACGGTCGGGGCCGCGTGGGGACGTCAGAAACAGAAGGGGCAGGACCAGTACCCAAAGCAGGAGTACCCGCTCCAACAGCACCTCCAGCAGCACCTCCAGCAGCTCCAGAACCCACAGCAGCACCTCCAGTAACCCCAGAACCTCCAGCAGCACCAGGAGCACCGCCAGCCGGACCGCCAGTGGTAGCCTCAGCGCCAACACCCTCAGCAGCACCAGCTCCAGTCGAAACCACAGGCCCAGCAGCTCCAGTACTCCCAGGACGAGCACCTCCGGGACCCGCGACAGCAGCACCCTCAGTAGCCGACGAACCTCCAGCACCAGCAGCACGGCTCCAGCGCCGGGCAAACCACTCGCACAGCTCCTGTGGAGAGAGTGGCTCCGGGCGAGACGAAGCACCCAGAGAGCCTCCAGGCTCAGCAGCCTCAGACCCAGCACCCCCAGGCAAGGCACCTCCAGGCCCAGCACCCCCAGGCTCAGCACCCCCAGGCTCAGCACCCCCAGGCTCAGCACCCCCAGGCTCCGCACCCCCAGCAGCACCAGAGTCACTAGTGACCTCAACAGGCTCGACTGCGTCTACCTGGGACACACCTGAAGGGGCAGAACCCTGAGGGGGGAGGGGGTCTACCGGTGGGGGACCTGGGACAAGAAAGAGCGGGGGCGGGGGGAGGGACGGAGTGCGGTAGGGGAAGAGGCGGTAGTAGGGTACCGACTCGTCGAACGTGACGTCCTGGGAGGACAGAACACGGCGAGAGGTGGGGTGGTAGAACTGCCACCCAGGGGCGTCGGGGGGGAACCCCAGGAAGACGCAGGGAGCAGCGCGAGGGGACAGCTTGTCCGCAGACAAGTCGCGGACAAACGCCCGGGATCCCCAGACCCGGAACGCCGACGCAACGCCAACCCTCCCCGTCCACAGCAGGGCTGGGGAGGTCTCCGGCCTGGAGACCCTGGGGTGGAGGTTGATCTAATGCGCCGTGTACCTGACCGCAAACGGCCACAGAAAATTGGGGGCAGCCGCATGCATCATAGACGTACGAGCGACGTCCATGACCATGCCAATGCGGCGCTCTGCAATCCCATTTTGCGGCGGTGAGTCCGGAAGCGTGAAGGTCTGACGGATGCCTCGCGCACGACAGTAGGCACGAATAAGGCCAGAGGAGAACTCCCCGCCACTGTCCGAGTGCAGACGCAAAACAGGAAAGTCCGAGCCAAAGCTCTGCCTGAGCTGGAGACGAGCTGCGCGAATCTAGTCGATCAGCACCTTAGTGACATCACCCTTGCTGCGCAAGGGGAAGACTGTGGTGTAACGCGAGTAGTCGTCAACCACCAACAGGAAGTAGCGCTCGTGACCTAGTCCACGGACGC